TTGGAAAATATCCCTGTTGGGTTCTGATTAACAGAGAATACCAAGAAGTGAATGATTGGCTCACAAAAGTAAATCTCCAATCTGAAGTCACTGCAATCAAGTGCCCTAATGTATTTAATCCATGTATCATTCATTCTGGATTAATAATATAAAAGTAAAACTATTGGTCCTAGAGAATGACACAGACTTTCTTTTATATTTATATATATATATAGTATATATATATATATATATATATATATATATATATATATATATATATATATATATATATAGTATATATTATTTCGCCTGGATTAGCTATTTAGACTTGCTCGGCCAGATACTCTTGCCAGCTGCCATCTATCGCCGCCCAAAGTGCATTTTGTGAAGGTTTCTCAATTTTACGGTTTCCTAATTGTAGAACGGAAGTATTTCTTCTAGAATATTAAAGAAGAGTGAAACCTCGTAATAAATGGCAATTTTCATTGAAAGACTGGAAGTCGAGTTAAAAGAAAATGGCGTTTAAACGTTACTGTGAATGTGAAATTTGAAGCTCTTTTTCACAGAAATTTTTGTGTTTTCGAAAAACTTTATTAGAAGTCATTTGTAGCACTTTAACTCACAAATGCATAGTGTTTATAAATCACTTGAAATTTCCTCATGCATGGCATGAGAGATTTTTCAAAAAATTACATTTGTGTAATTTATGAAAAACCAAACGAATTCACCAAACTAATTTTATGCCATCTTAAACGGTGCAATTAGCACTATCCGTACGAAAACTTTGAATTCAAAATTTCGAGCTACTTTTTTTTTAAAGTGGCGTTTAAGTTTTTCTAAAATTGCGAATGTTGAGCTCATTTTCACAAAAAACTGTTAGGTTTTCGAGGAACTTTATAACATTACTCAAAGCACTTGTACTTATAAATACAATAATGTGAACAAATCTAATGCTAATGTAAATATAAACAACGTGAGAGACAAGTCAAAAAATTATATTTTTAGTAATTTTTGAAAGAAAAAAAAAGAATACAGTAATGTGGCGTTATTGTCATCTTATAGAGCACATTTATCACTATCCATACCAAAAGTTTAAAGAAAAAAATGAAGCAGATTTCGAGAAATTCTTGGTTTTGTTATTTTTTATTATTGCATGCAATATTGCGCGAAAACTACTGAAATTTCCAAAAAATGTACAGGACTTTAATGAAAAAACTAAATTTGGAGAACAAATTTAATTTGAAGGAAATATCTCCATATTTAATTTTGTAATTGTAGAAAAACGCTGAAAAATTTTGCAATGTTCGAAAATGCAGAGTTAACCGTGGAAATCGAACATATGCCACCTATGTAAGTGTATTTTACTCTATTCTTACTAGAAAATGTAAAGAAAAATTTAGAACAGTTTTTGAAAAATATAGAAAATATTTAATTGGCTGTCCGGGTGAATTGGTATAAGAGTCCATGGCAAAGGTGCCAATTGTCAGGTGCCCGTGTCAGGGGCGCGCAATTGGCCCTTGTAGCCAATTAAATACTGACTCCGGCCGCGGAAGCCTATGCTCTGAAATACAGAAAGTGTTCCTAGGACTTCATGTAAAGTACCCCCAAAATTTAAAGAATGTTTTTCAAAATCTCAAAGCTTCTACTCGAGCCAGGTCGACCTGGGAATAACCATGTTGAAAAAAAAAAAAAAATCCTACTATGGTTTAGGCGCTAGAGGTGTTCTCAGACGGACGGACGTTTTAAAAAAAACAACAATTCTTTGGTTTAAGGGTCCTTAAAACGTGTATTTCCGTTCATATCCCGAAAACGATTTTCCGCAGCATTACATAACTTTTTCTATACTACGTGTATACGTACGTAAGTGAGGAAGTAAAAAAAAAAAAACAGCTTGGATGGACGCATATTTTGTTTATACTTTAACATATTGTCTCGTATTTTTTATCATATTTTCGTATTCAAGTTGTGTATTCTAATAGACAAAGTGTACAAACAAATGATGATGTATTTTTGACTATTTATACTATACAGTTGCCGGTCCTGAGATTAGATAATGTGATTTTATAAAATTGTCCCCGGTATGATCAACGAATATCGATTAACTATTTAATTTTGTGGAAAAAAATAGCGAAAACGGATGCACGAATGCATTTGAATCCATGACAGACGATTTGTTCCACTCTGTTGCTGTTACTGCGAATGGTGGGAATGAATCGGGACCAACTAGGTGTTTTTATTTGTATTTAAACAGAGAACAAGTTGGAATTAATACGATGCCAGGGTAATACCTTATTACAGTTGGAGGGAAAAGTCGTATATTTTAAATGCTTGTGTTATTGTCTCGTGTCAGTTACCAATTTCAATTGAAATTTCAGTTGCATTTTTCCTTCTACTATATATGTCCACGTGTTACTATGATAGTATATTATTTCTTTCATTTTGTAGTGTGCTTTAAATATTTTATTTGTTATTGTATGCTTTTTTATGAATATTGAAGAGCAATGTTCACATACTTCATTTTATGAATGTGTAATTGCTTTGGAAAACTACTTCCCCAATTTTCTAACTCACACACTCCTTTTCCCAACACATGCTCTAATTGAAGGCAAGTGTATCTAATGTGTATGTAACAACTAATGAACGAATCTGACTGTTCCGCTAATAACCCGCTTAATATTAAATTATTCAAAATAGGTTAATAAATTAAGAAGAAGAAATAAATATGAAGAGTACTTTGGTCTTTAACCAAATTATGTGCACATTAACCAAAATGGGACCTTTAGTGTAGGTGACGTACGTTATGACAATGAGGAATATATATGTGATAAAAAAATATATAACGGAACTTACGCTACTTTTTTTTAGAAAATTTTGAATATGTTGAGGCTTCATGTAATGTAGCCTCAGATATGAAAACACCTTTTTTAATTCGCAGGACTTGGAGTTCGGCCAGATTGACCGGGGAATGTCAATTTTGGAGAAAACCATCTGAACGGTTTAGGAGGTTTGTCGTAAACAAATCCATCGATATAAAGGGCCCACAAAGCAGGGGTTCTAACTACACAACGTATTAGAGGAAGTGAAGTACTACATATAGGAAAAAGCTTTATCCAATTTTTGGATACCAGAGCTCCACAATGCGAGTTTTTCTTTCTTTCGAAAATTGACGCCTTCGCTTCATTATTACAACACTTTCTCTTATTCCGTATATATGTAGTTAGTAAAAAAGTAAAAAATACCAGTCGTATGTATTTTTATATGGATTGCTGACGATCATGATTCCCCAAGTTCCTTGATTTTTTACATTACAATAATATACGTTTATAGTTACAAGTTTTGTAATGTTGTAATCACATTGTATGAATTTTAATTCGTTGTGGTACGAAGGTATGATTATGTAGGTAGTACGTACGAATATACGTATGTGTATCTGTGTAGAAGAATACATAGCTAAGGTCTTGACTTTTTCTGTCATTTCTGATTTCATGATCCATGAGCACTCTCGCTTCAGGTAGGTCAGAAGCAAAGGGAGTTGATAATATTTGTGACGTGAAATAAATTAAAACAGTATTAAAAATGTTATTTTACTCTTTGTGTGTCAGGTCACTATTGCTATGAACTCGTGACCTGCAGTAGCAAAAATGCTTCTGAACAAAGCTCTACAAAATAGTTTTCCAGAAAGCAGCACCCATCCTGCGCAAGATGAACAAATAATATACCTTCGTAAAACGCTTCAATAAATTAAATGTTTTAACAAACACCGTCTTCACGAATACTGCAGTAGCTCAATGGATACACAGTACAACAGTTCTTTACGTACCAAGAATATTAAATAAGTTGCTGTTTCATAACTCAACGTGAATATCAAATATTTAATGGCGTGCAGTCTCTTCATTGAAACCGTGACCTTCGCTGGACGCCAACTATGTTATAAGCAGTGATGTACCGAGTATGGGAATTCATTAGGTACGCATAATGTCAGAATGCGCTTAATCACACAAAGTATTCTCATTTTTTTCAGCCATCTTCGAAAGTGTTCAGTTCTTTTTGTTTCATTTTTTCTTTAAGTTTCTGGGTATCTATAGAAATCATAGACACCCTTGACTTGGCCAGTGGCCGCATAGTTTTCTTTCAACTTCTGTAGACTTTGAAAATTAGAATTATAGATAATATCTAAAAGCAGTTTGTCGTGAAATATCTTGTTAGTGTGGGTATGCAATCCCGTAACACTTCGCTGTGTTGCTTGAAATCTCCTAAGGTTCCTCGTGTTTCCTTGTCTTCTCGGTTTGGAAACGAGAAGTTTGAAACGCGGAATGTTGTTTAACAATTAATTAGTTATCACGTGCGTTGAATGTCTTGCTAAATCACTTTATAAGTAACTTTGACAATAATTAACGCGTAACCTTAATAATTATTGTGTAAGTTCACGTTTAAAACATTGTCGAAACGGAAATGTTTTCCTTTTGTTTATAGCATCAAAAATATTGTGTAAAATAAAAAATATAGTTATTGAATATTTCATTATGATAACTGATTATATACTTTTGTTTTCAATTCAATTTTTTGGGGCTTAAACAGTTTGATTAAATCCTTTCCGTTTGTAAGTATGTTGCAGAAGTTGCCAAAACCAATTTACTGTCCGCAAATTAAGAGTTTGTTATTGTTCATGTCGAATGGTAATTAATTTTTACTTTTTTGGTTTTCTGAACTGCTTCCTAAGTTTTTAAATAATTTTAATTCTTTGCTACCTCCTACACATAAAACATGGGAATAACCTTTTCATTAATAAATCGTTAGAATTGAATTAGTAAGATATTCTAAAGTCTCTGACATCACATTACATTGTTACCGGCGTCTAGAGAGTCGTCAAGCTACGTAAATGCTAATCTCTTTAATTAACTCAAAAGCAAACGTTAAAATTCGAATGGCAGAACACTTAGAAGAAACCGCAACGAGTTTAGTGCACTTGGGCAAACTCCATGCTTTGACATCCACAGCCTCTTCTTTCCACTTTCCAGTGCCTTGACAGGCGCTACGCAGTCGCGACGCGTCCTTTGTCTCAGAGCGTGGACGGCGCGGCACTGGCCAGCAAGCGCGCCGCAGTCATTTCGCACAGCGCGGGCGTGCAGAGCCCAGCCAGCCACCGCCAGCTGGCGGCCGGCCGCGCTCCGGGGACGGCGGAGGCGGTGGCGGCAGTGGGGGCGGTGGCGCGCGGTGGTGTAGAGGAAGGGTTGGCGGAAGGGCGGAGAGGGAAAGAGCGGGAGCTCGAAAAGATGGAGCAATGGCGTGCCAGCGGGTGCGGTGGAGAGGAACCGCGGGGGCGCGATGGCGCGCGGTGGGGGGGCGCGGGGGACGGCCGCGCGCGTTGAGCGCGCGCGCGCCGCCGCCGCGCGCCGCC